CACGTAGTCGACCGCGGTTCGTGTCCTGGACCTGGTGGCTTAAAACTCACGCCAGGTGCATGTGTGTGCATGCCCAAGATCCCGAGAGGAGAATGGAGGAGAAGGGATTGTGGCGTGGCCATCCCCCCTGGGGGGTGATTTCTCGCTTTCTGACTCTCTGTCTCTCTCTGTCTCTGTGGCAAGTGCACGCAAACCTCTCCAAAAAAAAAAAAAAAAAAGATCATTTAAGAAAGGGAAAGGGAATTCACAGACTGAAAATATTACTGAGTTAAGCAGGGTTTTCAGAGAAAATCCACAAAGAGCATTTTCTTCTTTTTAAAAAAATGTTCTTTATTTCTCTCATGAGAGAAGACAGAGAGGGTGCCCCGACAGGGTGTCTCTGCCACAAGTGTCAGGGCACACAGCGTGTCCCCACCACAGCCCTCGCCCAGTCTCAGCAGCCAAGGCCCCGGGGTTGTGAGCTTACACCCAGTGTGAGCAATGAGACCTCCAGACTTGAACCCGTGCCATCCGCACCCGGGCCATCTGCATGGTGTCAGCATTGCAGAGCGTGGGTTCCCACAGCCAGTCACAGTGCGTGTTCTCTAGCGGAGACAGGACTGGGGACAGCAGGAGGGAACCTCATCTCCGCCGTCTCTGCCCACCCACCGATGCCAACACCTCACACCTCCTTGAACAGGACATCTGCCAACACCGTCACGCCCCTGCCATGCTTCCTGCCTAGGTGTTTGTCTCCTCTATCTGGCTAGCCGATTCTGGCCTCCAGGAAGCCTTCCCAGAATTCTTCTGGCCCCCTCCGTGTCGCAGGGCAGGCCCCGCCGCTCTCCCACTCTGTCCTGCTGTGTCCTGGCTCCTGCAGCTCTGAGCACTTCCTGCAATCACCTGCGAGGTTGTTCGCGAGGTCATCTGACTTCCATTCCTGGGGCTCAGCCTGGTGGGTGGGACATGGCAGCCACTCTGTCACCACCGCAAAGACTTTTGGGAGTGAACGAGGTCGTACTTGAACCTGCATGCGGATGAGCCGTGCGGGTCCAGCAGTGAGGTTCTAAAGGGAGCAGCTGTGATCATGACCGAAGCGCCCCGGCCTGTGCGCCCTCATCACGCCTCCACCACACTGCCCTGCAAACATCTTCCCCGATTTAAAAATACCTTTAAGGACAAATAAAGAAACCGATCTTTTAAGCAAAGCATATTTATGAAAAGAAATTTTCAAAAAGTAAATTGCTTTTCCATCTTCTGTTTTATTTGAATGACGGTTTTGCGTTCTTTTATTAGACCCATGGATACCACAAAAGGCGGAGGCAGAACCACTCTTAAATGCTGATTAGTCAGATAAAATGTAAATTGTAATGTGATAGTCTATTTTCTGATATATACTGAATGCCTCAAAATGTAGGTACTTCTTCATTGTCAGAGCACAGTGTAACTTTATAAGGTCAGTGTCTAGTAACCTTTGAATTCTCTGGGACCAGTAGATGGTGTAATGGTTATGTTACTGGACATAACCAACCTACGTAGTTGATTGCAGTTCAAGTCTCAGACCTGGTGGCTTAAAACTCACAGTGCATGTGTGTGCGTGCCCAAGATCCTGAGAGGAAAATGGAGGAGAAGGGACTGTGGCATGGCCGTCCCCCGAGGGGGATGATTTTTTACTTTCCATCTCTGTCTTTCTTGGTCTCTCCAGTGAGTGCATAGCAAAAAAAATCTCTCTAAACAAAAAAATTTTAAAAATAAAATCCTCACTTGCGATCTGTTTTTCAGATCACAAGTGGAAGTGCCTCGGGTCTGAAGCTGAGCGTCACTGTCTAGCGCTGCTACGATCACATTAAGTTCCCACGGGGAAAACTGGGTTTGGTTTGCCACGGTCTGCTTAGCACCTGGGCTAAACCTGGGCTAAACAACAAGGCCCCCTTCAGGAACACCACTCTGTCATTTTCTACAGACTTAATGCACATTAATCCCATGCGATATTCAGGAAATCAGTGAATGCACAGAGGAACACGTCACTTTACTGACTTCCGTAAATCTGCAGCACCCAGAGAGGCGGGAAGAGAAACCAAAGTGACATGACGTAGTAAACTCAGAGCTTTAGAAGCAGCTCTGAGACCTCGTCCATGGAATATTTATTCCTCTTTCACTTCGGAATTCCAGCACAGCTTCTTGCTCTTTTTCCAACCTGCCACGGATTTTGAAACTGAATCAAAAGCAGCAAAGGGTACTCTTGAGGCCAAGCACAGCGACGGCCCAAGAAATGAAAGCCGGTTCCACAGCCGGAAACTGAAGAAGGAGACAGAAGAGCCGACATCGAAATGCAAAGCCCAGCAGTCTGGCACCCACCGAGCATGCTGACCTGACCTGCACGCAGCAGCCCACCCAGCCGAGGCCGGGACCCAGAGCCTTCCAGCAACCTGCAGCGACTTAGTGCGTCCTGTGGAAGAGGGTGGAGGTCATTGAGCACTCTAGGCAGACTGCACACGGCAGGAGCGGTCCAGGCAAACTGCATGGCAGAAGTGGGGTGTGGTCCAGGCAGACTGCGCACGGCGGGAACGGTCCAAGTCAGAGGAAGACGGAGTACAGGGCTCCTGGGCTGCCCCCTCTGTATCCCTCTGGTAGCACGGGCTCACTGGACAAGTGTCCAGACAGCTTTTTGTCTCTTCAAAGTAGACAATGGATTTTTGCGCCTCTACTGGAGAAACCCTCTTCTAGGGGAGAGCTCAACCCCCAGGAGCTTTGACTTCTGAAACTAGGATAAAATTGCCAGACCTTCAAGTCTCGCGCACTGGTGCCGTTAAGTAAACTCACTTCCTGGGCTGAGTGTTCGTTTGGTGCCCTGGCAGCTCAGCCCGGGTGCTAAACCCTGAGCGGTCAGCCCATGGGGGGCAGAACCGGGATCCTGAGTGCCAAGATGGTGGGTGCGATCTGCTGGAACGAGCACCCGCACACAGCTCGCAGACGTCCAGGGACACGTGAAGCGTGTGGGGATAAATACCGAAGGGAGAGTTTATGTCTTTGACCTTCCAGAAACCACATGCTGCCTGTCATTAGGAATTAATAGGTGCTAATGAGTGACTGATTACATAAGACCATCGAGACCCATCCTGCACATCTGTCCCTTCCTCCCTCCCCCCTTCGTATCTGGATTATAAATGTCTCGAAGCAGTTACGCACCTCTTGCCTAAATGTGACAACTATCCGTGCAGCAAGCGGGGCAGGAATGATGGCAGTTTACAATGGGAGGACTCATGATCTCCTTAACGTCGTTGTTGATCATTTGACTAAAAATGAAAGCAGGACTGACATTTGCTCACCATTGATTTACGAAATGAGGTGTTTTTTCCATATATGCCGTTTCTTTTTGATTACATCTCTTTCACACATTCGATCACTACACATCACTACAGCTTCTAAAGCGAATTTACCCAATGTGAGTGCACCAGTGAAGCTGAAGATACCTACACGTCATCAGCAGATCACCATACCCCTCTGTGTCCCATAAATGTCTTGAAGATACCCTACACGTCATCAGATCACCATACCCCTCTGTGTCCCATAAATGTCTTGCTTCTCTATTTTTCTCCTTGATGCCTTTCCTCACACTCTCGCCTTTCTCTCACCCTCTTCCCACACTGTCTTCAGCATCCCTAGTCATTTTCCAGGCTTCTATATCCTCTAATCTTTCAGTTTCCACCATGGAGTGTGGACGGTTGGTGTATATTAAGTGGAGACATACAACGTCTCTCCTTCATGGCTTGCTTCACTCGGCAGTGAATCTTCCATATTAATCCCCTTTCTATCAAATACCAGGGTCTTGTTGATTTTTATGGCTGAGTAGTATTCCATGGAGTATATGTGCCACACTTTTTCAATCCGTTCATCCGTTCGTGGACATTTGGTTTGGTGCCACGTCTTAGCAGTTGTGAATAATGCCACAATAAACAGATGTGTGGGCACTTTTTTGACTGAGTGTTCTCCTATCCTTTGGGTAGATATGCAGGAGTGCAATTGCTCGATCACATGATAATTCTATTTGTGGACGTTTGAGAAACCACCACGTTGTACTCCATGGTGGCTGTACTAATTTACATTCCCGCCAACAGCATCGGAGGGTTCTCCTTTCACCACCACCTTATCAGCACTTATTTTTCCTTTTTTTAAATCTTAGCCATCCTGACTGGGGTTACATGGTTTCTCATTGTGGTTTTGATCTGCATCTACCTTATAATGAGGGATGTTGTGCATTTTTTCATATGCTTTTTTGGCTGTTCATATACTTCCTTAGAAAGTTGTTTGTTCAGCTCTTTTTCTCATCTTTTAATTGGGTTAGTCATTTTTTTTTTGTGGGTAAGCCGCTTGAGTTTCCAATATATTCTGGTGACCAGTCCCTTATCTGAGGCATAGTTTACAAAAATATTCTCCCATTCTGAGGTTTGTCAACTCACACTAACTACTGTGTCCTTGGCTGTGCAGGAATGGCTTAATTTTATGTAATCTCACTTGTCTATTTTGGGGATTATTGCCTGTGCTTTGGGGGTCTCATTTAAGAAATCTTTGCCTACTCTGCTGTCTCCCAGAATTTCGCCAGTGTGTTCCAGCAGTAGTTTATAGTTTGAGGTCTGAGGTTTAGAGCTCTGATCCACTTTGAGTTGATTGTTGTTAATGGTAAGAGATAGTGGTCCAGATTCATCTTTCTGCAGGTGAACACCCAGTTTTTCAAGCACCATTTGCCGAAGAGGTTTTTCTCTTTCCCACTAGATTGACTGGTGCCCCTTGTCAAAAATCACATGGCTGTACGTTTTTGGGGTTTGTTTCTGGGGCTTCTACTCTGACCCTGACCCATTGGTCCACATGTCTGTTTTTGTGCCAATACCAGGCTGCTTTGATTATCACACCTTTGTAATGTATTTTTCTATTTCTGAATAACAGAAGGCTTTATGGTCCTCTTCTTTAACCAACTTAATTTTTAAAAGTTTAACTATTTGCCTCATTGTTTTTTTTTCTAGCGGAAGACAACAGTCTTTCTCAAAAGAAGAAGGTCACCGTGGAAGATCTCTTCAGTGAGGATTTCAAAATTCATGACCCGGAAGCCAAGTGGATAAGTGGTGAGTCCCGTGTCCTGGTGCGCATCAGAAATCACTTCCCGACTTCCTGCCTCTTTGGTAGATTTGGGTTTGTCCAGGATTAGGAGTTTGCCTGGCAAATTCTCTGTTTGATGGAGTGGATTATAGAATAGTATATAGCACAGTAGAATAGAAAATATTGATGACAATTTAATATATATTTCCAAATGTCTAGCAGAGCAGATTTCAAATATGCACAACACAAAGTAGCAATACATGCTGTCGATGGTGGAAAAAAATTCTGTCTGGCTGTAGAAGGGGACCCACAGGGACTTCACTGTGCTAACCGTCACGTTACCGTTCTAAGAGAACGCGTACCCGGTAGCACTGCAGACATCAGCACAGCCCGTCTTCATGAGAAATGGATCTGCTGAGGACGCGCCCTCCGTGCGTCACCTCCTGAAGCTGCTTCTCCGAGATGCGAAATGTTGCTAAGCAACAGGCCCAGCTGAGCCCCTTCTCCGTGGCCTCTATTCCCTGGTGTGCTTGTGCTTTCACTTTGCCTTGGCTAGCCGAGCAAACCAGCTCAGAGGATTCTTCCAGAAGGCTGCCAGAGGAGCACGGAGCCCAGTGCTTGGATTGTATGCAGGGGATTCATTTTCTCTTCCATGAACTTTAATCTAGATTAAGTCTACTTTTTCCAGTGGGGGCTTTTTTTTAAACAATGGGATAAGGTAGAAGCGGGGGCAGGAGGCCCTGTGTCCCTACTGCCTTTTTAGTGCCGTAAAATGATTGGTTCTGCTACTTGACCTGAAATCCTCAGTGCGTTCACGGACCAGGCCCAGCGCTACCAACTGTCCCCCCGCAGGCTCGGTGGCTTCCCTGGTGGCACCTCCCCTGGTATCTCCATGGCCGCTGTTGATACCCAGTCCTGGCTTCAGCAGAGAGTGCTTGGAAACCACCCTCAGGTTGAGCCCCCCTGTGGGATGCTTGCGAGTCTAGTTGACCTCCTGGCTTGTACAGTCAGCGAGGGCCCCAGAGGGCAGGGGACCGTCCTGAGATCACACAGTGGGTTCGTGGCACAGCTGTGGCTAGGAGCCCGTCTCCTGGCTTCCACTTCAGTGCTCGTCCCGCCACACTGTTCTGAGTGACAACTGTCATTTGCTCCCAAACTGCCTCTAGAATGCTTTTCATGCTTCACAAAATCTCAAAAATCAACTAGCAATGACTGTTTGTCCTTGTCCCCCACTTAGGTCATGGCTTCCCCTTCATCCTCTCTGGCGGCGTCAGTGTTCGTGTCTGACCCTTAGATTGACATTTAGCAATGGAGGAAGTCGATGGATGGCAGAGGGAGTGTATTCTGTGAAACTGGGGCAGAGCCAGGGCAGTGTATCGTGAATATCAATGGAGGGCATGGCACACCAGAGCCTGGATGGGGCGAAGGCCCTCGTGTTAGGTAGAGGGGTTAGCTGCTGTGGCCCGGGGCTGTGGAGGGGTTAGGGGCTGTGGAGGGGTTAGCTGTTGTGGCCCGGGGCTATGGAGGGATTAGCTGCTGTGGCCTGGGGCTGTGGAGGGGTTAGGGGCTGTGG